GAGACTCTGAAAAAAAATGAAATTCAGACCTATTTTGTTTGTGTAATCAAACCTGTGTGTGCAGGGTATGCATATATTCTCTGAAGACTTCAGAAAGCTGAAGAGGATTAATATATTATTTCATAAGAAGTAGCAAAGAACAAACTGGTTTGAGTCTCCTCCTAATGACTGTTCCTGTCTGTGATGCTTCCTGACTCTTGCCTGCACCAAGACCATGGTCCTGGTGCTCCCTCCAACAGTAGCCCCAGCTGGATGCTGCTCTCAGCACCATGTCTGGGACAACAAAAATCCTGGGATGAGGCCGGAGGCCACATTGCTCCGCCGTGTGCACTGGGGAGCTAAGTTCCTTGCATGATGCATTCCTACTGAGCTGGGGTAACAGAGGTGTGGAAACAAGTAAGAGGAACCTGAAGATTCAAGCAGGAGCAGAGATACTGGAAAGAAGACAGGACTAGCTAGTAAATAGGTATTCAAGATAAGAAGGACAAAAGTTACTGGTCCTTTTGGACTTGGAATCAAGGTTAACTGAATATGACAGAAAGCTAAATTTGCAAAAACCAAGACCCCCAAACTAGAAGATAGCTTGAAAAATGTGGGGAAAAAAGTGGTCTAGACAAAGTTTTTCTATAAAGACAAGGAGAAAACTGAGCAGTGGCTCAAGGCCAAGTTTTGAGTTATCAAGGAAAAAAGATGCATCTGAAACTAAAATGTACATCAGCAGTAATTGCTGAATACATTTAACGAGCTGGACCAGTCCTGTTCACCAATAACCCCCACAGCTGACCTCAGCTTAGTGGTATTTTCAATCTGGAAGACAGCAACAGATTTCACTGAAAATAATCAATGGTTCACTTGGATGAAATATATTCTGATATACTAAGGGCAAGCCATAGGAAAATAGCATACATAACTCAGTCATGGGTACACACAGGAACTGGCAGAACCTTGTCTTCAGTTTTAGTTCATGCAGCTCTCACCCCCTTAGTCTTCAAGCTTTGAATTTGAGATCAGCAGAAAGTTGCAATCAGTCAAGGATGACAAGTGTCTCCCAGTGCTTATAGACTCACAAGTAAATCCCAACCTGCACGGACCCTTTCAGGAGCAGCTGAGTAACTGGCTTTGGCAATGGAGCTGATGTCTGGTGTGTCAAAAATCATAGACAGCTGTAGTAGCTAATGAACTAGAAAATTAAATTACACTATCTTCATCCGTGATGCTCAGACTGACTGTGTTAAAGATAATGGGTGTTTTTGCCATGAAACCTATGGGAAGCAGCAAACATGTATGCTGTTCCTCCGAGGCTGCTGTGTTGTATATTCAGTTTTTTAATGGACTAGTTTTTAGGTTGGTAAAATTTCAAACAAGCCATTCAAAAATGTGTCTGAAAAGTGTGGGCAAATAGATGCTATGTGGCTGAAGTGTGTGAATAATCTGGCTGTGAAAAATGCTTGTATATGCGAGCTGACACAAGATGTCATCACCTGTTAACATGCTGGCAAACCTCACGGCTGGGAGAGTGAGGTTGTGTTTCTTCTTCCTCTAAGTGATTGCTTTCTCTGACTGAGTGGGCAAGCATAGTTTTGCAAGGCTAAAGACCTACATTAGCCATTTAGATTACAAAGGTCAAAAAACTGTGCAGCATCCCTACCAGATCCATCTGCACTGGGGTCCACTTTTACTTGTGGTATGAAGAAAAATCTTTTGAAGGAAAACTGAACTTCTGGTACCGGTGGTTCATCTTCTGTGATAGTGATGATTTCAAGACTTCCAGTAGTGGGATTTGTCTCTTGAACCTGGCTCAACAAGGGGAAAAAAAAAAAAAAAAAATTTAAACAAGTGATTTCTATCAACTCAAAAAAATAAAATCTGACACCCTTCTCATTATATGAAGAGACATGTAGTTTTGCTTCATATTTCAGTTTTTATTCTGTTTTTTCAAACGCAATACAGATACAATGTGAATGCACAGGGACACTTTGCTGTGTTTGCCCAAAAGGCATCACCTTGTAAAATGTTGTGTACTTCATGTTCATGAGAAAAGCTCTTACAATTAATTAACTCGCAAACTACTGAAGTTAAATTTTGTTCAAGTTTGCCTAAGCACCATAGCTACTTTAATAACTCACACTGGCAACAATTTCACTTAAATTTCAATCCATTTCCTGTGAGGTGCTCTTTAATTTCAAGTGAAAACAAGAGACAGACTAAAAAGAGTTATGACACCTGCACAGCACCTGGCAGCATCCTCTAGCATGAGCCCCCGAAAAGAAAACCTTTGATCACTTTCTACACAATGAAAAACAATTAAAATGGGCTACACCAGAATTCAGGGTAAATAGCTTTGAAATTATTATTTTTGACTCAGTTCTGCACACTGTCACTGGCAAAAAGAATCAGATTTTTGAACTCACAGTGGTGTGAAATAGGTCCAGGTTTGTTAAAGACAGTGGAGCTGGTAAGCTGTAAAAGCAGCATAAATGTTTGCAGAGTCAGTCCCAGAAAATGCTTACGATTACACATTTTAGATAAAGAAAACACAGCTTGTCTGTGACACTATATCTTTAAGTCACCTGGAATATCTTTTCACCTTTGAGCAAACCAAAGCAATAAGGTTTCTACACTTTCATTTGATAAAATTTCATGTACATTTCAATGGACATAAATTTTATATTGACTCTTCTAGCTTTAAGGCAGAGAAAATGACAGTTTGCTCTGCAAGATTTTTAAATATTAAAAGAAAAAGCCTTCTAACTCATGCATAAATTGTCCATCAGGAAGTAAAACAGCATTGTGAATTATATTACACAAAAGCTGAAGATTGATGTGTCTTTTATTTAGAGGACATCACACACTCCCAAAGCTTCACTCACCTCTTCCTGAGAAGTCATAGTTAAAAGCAGAGCTGTTTTCTTTCTTCATTATCAAAAGAAACCAAAAGGAAATTCTGAGGCTGCTAAGCCGGTCTGCTCTGGTAAGGTTTTCACTGAGCTGCCTGCGGCTGCCCATTCAGTCATCTGTTGCATGCAACACTATGGCAGCAGCCTGTGTAATTCAACCTGGTGAGGGATATCGGGTAGCCCTGGATGGCATGGCTATGGAAAGGGGAAGATAAAAATTCAGCATGCTTTTTAATTAGCCTAAGAGCATCAGGTAATATTGTAGTATTTGCAAACCTCTCTGTAACCCCTCAGCAAAGGAGCACCACAAACTGCACAGGTTTGCACTTGCTCATCTTTTATCGAAACCCATGAAGCTGAGATGAGGAGTCTGCCGATAGCTGTGGATGACAGAAGGCAGAAGCCCCAGGTGCTTTGTCTCTTCAGCACACAAAGCCCATAGGTTCACCTTGCGCTTCCTTCACTTGGTTTACCTTTTGCTGTGTGCTTGCGGCAAAGAGTGCAGTTAAAAGAGGTTTTTCGAAATAGACCCATGCTTCAGTTATGGATAATTTATATAATTATATATTGCACAATATTTTGGAAGTACTTTGCAAGCAGTATGTCATATTTTGGAAATATCAACTCATTTCTACTCTAGGATTTAGAAAATGAAAATATATGCTCAGCTTCATAAAATGTTCAAGAGCAGTAATAATTTGTCTTGGGTTTTTGTACTAAGGAGAGAGAGAGATGACAGAGGGGAGGGTGAAGGGAAGAAGGAGGAGGAGAGATGAAGCAAAAAGCCATGGCAGTGTAAGTGAAACAAGGCTCCTAAGAGGCCAGGGAAGAAATGCAGGTTTTCCGTGACAAAACCCATCTCCCTTCAACTTGGCTGCAATGAGGGAAGCTGTTCAGTCCCTTTGCTCTGCATGATGGAAACTGGCACTTCAACAGGAGGCGATGCCACATCATGTTCCTGTGAACTGTTCATATCTAGTCTATGACATCAGGAGTTCTTCATCAGCTCTTATGCTGATTTTCAGCAGCCTTCCCTGGAAATGGGAAATGTAGGAGAACATTAAAATAAATAAATAAATAAATAAATAAATTTAAAAAGGCAAGCAAATGAGTATCTATAAAGAAAGCTGCACTGCTTGAGTTGCTCATGGTTTTCTGTTGTTCTCCCCACTGGGCTTCAGTGACAAACAGTGGGAGAGGCAGCCCAAACCAGCCAGGTGCTCGTAGGGGAACTTCAGCCAAGGGGGAGAAAGTGAGGCTCATTTCAGGAGACCAGCAGCTCAGGTGACCCTTTTAGCCCATAGAGAGACAGGTCCTGTCCTCCCCAGGGAGTGGTGGTACCTTCAGTAATGACAGGCAGGGGAAATTCTTTACAACTGTTTCACCTTCTCTGGCCCTGCTGAAAGCCCTGGAGACCAGCCAGCCCAGGCTCCTGGTGGGACCAGCTCCTGTGGTGGGACCAGCACCCCTGGGAAGGACAGGCTTCTCCCACTGCCACCTTTAGGTGCTCCAAGCCCTGCCTCAGGACACAATGGCTAGATGGGACATTGGGTTTGACCTTGCACAGTCATCCAGCTCATGGTCTTTGACTGAGGAGACCAAAGCACAAGCCATGTACAATAGGAATGAGAGGACATGCGAGTCAAGCCCAAAAGGAAAAAATTCAGACTACAAACTAACTTCTTACATGCTGCGGGACATCTCTGCTCACCTCCCCCTCTCCACAGTAGCAGCTCAGGTAGATTTCTTGGCTTTCAGAAAACAATTTAAAATGAAGAGCTAAAGAGATCCTGTCCCAGACCCTTCAGCAAGTCCACCCTGATTGCAATGTTTGCGTTTGGACTACTAGTCTTGTTCTGCTGGGGTAGATGGGAAAAGATTGTAGATAGCTTTTGGTTTTTTAGCCAGCCTGGAACAAAAATTCAGAGATGCAGATGCTATGAAAACAGGATGTCAGCTTTTGTCAGAAAAGATCACAAGAGGTTTGAGGGTTTTTTTATTTTAGCTACCTCTTTCTCTTTCTCTCGCTCTCATTTTGTTACTCCCTCACCCCTCCCAATTTCTGTCAGCACTCAGCACACAGCCAGGAGAAGAGTGGAGGAGATGGCGGTGGCTGAGACACAGCTGTATGCAAAGGTGTCCAACAAGCACAGGAGGCAAAGTACCTCTGTACTCCTCGAGTCTCTCCTCGCCAAAGGCTTCCCGGCTCATATCGCGTGAGTAATGTGTTCGGCTGCCTTTGCACAGTACGAAGTACTTAAGATATAAGAGGTATTTCTCATAAGATCCTGACAGCAGGCAGCTTGGTTTTTTTGTCAGGAGAGCGTACTGCTTTCTGGGGGTGATGTCTCTATACGGGGATAAGACCTGTCTTGCTTTGAATTTCTTGTAGGGCAGTGTGTATTGCTCTTATTGCAAAAACAGCCTCTTCTGTATCCATTTTTATAAATACTGTGTATATCTGAAGACACATGCCCTTCCACATCTTCAGGTTGAGAAGCTTCACAATGAGTTAAGAAGTTGATGTCCATAGTTTGCTCTTGGAATATCTCCTCTTTCATTTTTTCTGCTTATCACTGTTATTATAAGGGAGGTAAATGTAGATATAACTTCTATCCAAAGTTTTCTTCAGGCATGGCAAAGATCTCCT